GTAGCTGGGACTACAGGCATGCGCCACCATGCCCGGCTAATTTTTTCTATATATTTTTAGTTGTCCAGCTAATTTCTTTCTACTTTTAGTAGAGATGGGGTCTCGCTCTTTGCTCAGGCTGGTCTCTAAACTCCTGAGCTCAAACGATCCGCCCGCCTCTGCCTCCCAGAGTGCTAGGATTACAGGCATAAGCCACCAAGCCCCACCTTGCTGCATATATCTTTTGGGGTTCAGCAGTCCAAGAACTCAAATATTTGTTGATTTAATGAATTAATATAAACTTTCTCAACCAGAAGCACCAAGAGTAGCTGGTTAAGGATTTAGAATCTCAGTAAAGTCTATTTCTTCTATTATAAATAACTGTTGAATAATTTATATATGTATATACATATAAACTGTTCAGTGTATATATACATATAATAAATGATATTTTATATATATTCATATATAGAGAAAAAGAAAATAATGCCAGACTCCCCATGAAGAACTCTCCCATTTCAGATAATTTTTCTAGGTTATTTGTATTTTTTTTTAAGCCAGTCAAATTTTGCAGTGAGGGGCTGAATACCAACTTTAGTGACACTAACGTTAATAAGTTCTGATAACCCACTACCATTGGACCAGCCTAGATTATTTGTATGTAATGGAAAAATGTGTTTTGACTTATGAAAATCAAAGTATTCAGTTTTTTTAGATATACATACTTTACAAATTTAACTCTTTCTAGAGGTCTAGAACTGAATGATTACCAATTTAGACTAGAGCTTTCTCTCCCTCTTTTCCCCCAGGCTACAGTGCAGTGGCGTCATCATAGCTAACTGCAACCTCAAACTCCTGGGTTCAAGCGATCCTCCTGCCTCAGCCTCCCAAGTAGCTGAGACTACAGGCGAGTGTCTCCACACCTGGCCTGGCAAGACTAGAGCTTCTATTTGTGATATAGGTCTGGGGGCTCAAAAAAACCAAAATAGTGATGTCAAGGAAAGATTGTCTCCCATGAAAGTGATAAGAGATGAAAAAATGCTGATAAAGCCTAAATGGACAAGATAGTTATGGATGTGGATTAAAACTCAGAGTGTTGGGATATGAGGATATGATAATGATTCATGAAGGTGAAACAGTCAAAGGTTAGTGCAGGATCTGAACTGCAGAGGAAATAAGGGGCCTTCATAGCTGAGGCAGGGGGAAAGGGGGCTGGTGGTACTAGGGGAAGCAGCAGAGGAGAAGAGGCAGTAACACCTAGACTAGATGCTGACCGTCTCTGGCAACCAGGAAAAGGGAAACATAAACAAAGAGAGGTGAGTGACAACCCGTGGTGTGTTTGGGGTCAGGAGGTATTGGCAGGCTGTCGCAGCACGGCCTCGGGTCAAAGTGGTAACTGGGGAGCTGAGCTCGGCAGTGACGCGCGGCCCTCACGTGATCAGGAGCCTATGTCTGCCCAAGTCCCTCTCGTCCTGGTCCTTTCTGCCTGCCTAGACACCGTCTCCCTGTTCCCCTTTGGTCGAGAGGGAAAGCAGAAGGAAGTAAGTTCCCTCCATCCCCTTAAATCGTTGTGAGTGTCAGCGCTGCCCAGTAACCCCTGGGATCGGATCGGGATGGCAGAGTCTAGGCCATTCCCTATGCTCCAGCCCCGCCCCCGCGCCCACATTTCGGTGCAGAAAATGGTGCTCTTGGGGGCAGGGTGGGGAGGTGAGTGGGGGCCCCCCTGGGAGGGAGGTACAGACACTTGGAAACAGTTTCTAAGTAATGCTTCGCTTCCACTTTCCACCTAAAAAGAAATGACGAGCTTTGCGGGGTGGAGAGGTGGGGGCACGAAGGACGAAGCTTGATGTGGGGTCTGAGGAGGGAGGAAAACCCAAAGAGGGCAGACGTTGGGGCAGAGGCTGGTGACCAGAAAGGAGGGGGGTGTCAGTCAGTCCGTCCCTCCTCCCCACTCCCCGCCCCCTACCCTGTCTTGCGTCTGTCTGCAGGTCTGCAGGTCACAGCGGGCGACCTCGAGGAGAGGACGACTAGGAGCACACAGCCCGGAGAGGTCCAGGTCGGGGAAGGGGTGGGCAGTGGACCGGGACTGGGGTGCGAGGGAGGACGCCGCCTGGAATGGAGTCTGCGGGCCCCACCGCCCCGCCCCTACCGCTGCGGGCGAGGCCTGCGGCAAGGCCTGCTGGGAAAATGGTGGGCTCTCGGGAAGGAGGGGGCGACCGAGAAGCGGCGGCGGCGGCCGAGAGCCGGAGAGCCTCTCGGCAAGCGCAGGTTTGAGGACCTGGAACGCAAATCGGGAAAAGGCAGGTATTGGAACCCATGGCCCGGGTGTTGGTCCAGCCGCTTAGTATTCTGACTGTACTCTGCCTTTCTTGTCTCCTAAGAATAACTGTGCTTGAAGAGGAAAATTCCCAACATGGAAAAATCATGCAAAGAAAATGAAGAACAGCCACAGAGCGCGCCAAAGACCGACGAGGAGCGGCCTCCGGAGGAGCACTCGCCCGGAAAGCAGTCTCTCGAGGAGCAGTCTTCGGAAGAGCAGTCCTCGGAGGAGGAGTTCTTTCCAGAAGAGCTCCTGCCTGAGCTGCTGCCGGAGATGCTCCTTTCAGAGGAGCGCCCTCCGCAGGAGCGCCTTTCCAGGAAGGACCTGTTTGAGCAGCGCCCTCCCATGGAGCAGCCTCCCTGTGGGGTCGGAAAACATAAGCTAGAAGAAGGAAGCTTTAAGGAGAGGCTGGCTCGTTCTCGCCCGCAATTTAGAGGGGACATACATGGCAGAAATTTAAGCAATGAGGAGATGATACAGGCAGCAGATGAGCTGGAGGAGATGAAAAGAGTAAGAAACAAATTGATGATAATGCATTGGAAGGCAAAACGGAGCCGTCCTTACCCGATTTAATTTGTTCGGCCTTTAATTCTGTTTTGCCTGCTAATATTATAGTATTGCCACCTGAACTTTCTGTTTACGTTTTCGTTTATGCGTTTTCCCATCTTCTTAATTTTAACTTTTTATATGGCTTTATTTTAGGTGTTTGGCTCGTAACTGGCATAAAATTGGGGTTTTTTCCCCCTAAAGTCTGCAAGTCTCCCTCTTTCAATCACAAGTCCCACCCATTTGCATGGAAAGATGTACATTATATGATGTGAAGTGAAAAAAAGCAATTTTCAAAGGGTATATATAGTATCCCGTTTTGTAAAACAAATACACATATATTTATATATTAATATGCAAAGAAAAAACAAAGTATATACTTAAAAGGCTTAACAGTGGCTATCTGTGTAATAGGGGATTTTAAAAAATTGTTGTTTTATCTGAGTTTCTCGTTTTTTCAAGACGAACACACTTGTGTTGTAAAAAAAACAATATAATGAAAAGATGTGAAGCAATTTTGAAAAAAACTGTCAATCATCTTATTATAAAGACAATGTGGCACTTAATAAATACTCATCAGAACTTTAAAAAAAAGAAAAGCGAATCCTATGTTTCTTCTCAATCTCTTAGGCAGAAATATAAACCCAGTATTTATTATATTTGTTTAAGGGTCCTTTTTGTCCCATTTAAATAGGAATAATATGGGCTTTACAATGCTGCTGTGGAACCAAATGAGAAAAAGATTATGTGAACTGTGTTTGGTTTTTTCCCAACTGCACATGCTGGACCCCAAACCCTATAGCTTCCCTGCAAACACAGGAGATAGTACCCAAAGGAGGTCTCACTTGTGCACACAATTCCTGTGAGATTCCAAATGAGCGTCACATTCTATTCCTGTCCTGCTATACCCTCAGATACTGCTATATCTGCAAGGTACAGCTGCCCCTTCTCCTGGGTCCTGCTCCTTCCACTGGCCCCCATTGCTGCCAAGGCGCTGGAGTTCTCAAGGGGCGAAGCCTCACTGATTGCTCTGGAGTCTGTAGGTCAAAGCTAAACTGTTACCTCCTCCAGATATATGGAGAATGCCCCTTTTCCAGCTTTCACGTTACACTTAGCCAGGTGGATGCCATCCCAGTGCTGCTCAGACCTTAAAAGAATGTCTTAAAAGAATGCTTAGCAATATAGTTCTTTCCAATTATTCCCTTAAAGTGTCCTCTGGACTCAAACATGAATCCACTGGGACCTGGGCTAGGAGACAAATTTGTGAGCCAGACACCATGCTGTGTACACAGAATTGGAACCTCTTTCCCAAATATACAGGGATAACTATGATTTTAGTTGCCTAACTTGCCTTAGGGTGAGTTCTATCTCAGGGGCTTCTGGCAGGCTTGCCTTACCAGTTCAGCTGACTTGTTCAACTTGCATAAATTAAAAAGGAAAATAAAGCTTAGGCTCAAACTAGGACATTCCCCTTCTATACCACTCCATATTAGCAAGAAACATGCAAAAGTACTTTGTATGACATTGAAGTACTATATATGTACATGAATATATATATCAGATATGATTTCTCTATTAAATTACCTTTATACATTCTAAGATTTTGTTTTATTGATCCTGTTAATGCTAGAAATACACATAGTGGTTAATGAACATTAAAAATTATGACCCAGTCAGCCTGAGCAAGAGCAAGACCCCATCTCTACAAAAAATAGAAAAATTAGCTGGGTGTGGTGGCTCATGCCTCTAGTCCCAGCTACTTGGGAGGCTGAGGCAGGAGGATCACTTGAGCCCAGCAGTTTGAGGTTGCTGTGAGCTATGATGACGCCACTGTACTCTATCCTGGGCATCAGAGAGAGACCCTGTCTCCAAAAAAAAGCCCACTTATGATCCAATTATGAACTCAGAGTTTCTGTTTGATTGACTATGTAAACTTCAGTAAATGTGTTTACTTCTCTGGAACTATGGCTTGCAATTCCAAAAGGAATACAGTGGGGGAGAGATTGTTTCCTCAAATTCAACATTAAAATTATTTAAATATTTTATATATCAGTGTTTCTCTCATAAAAAATCCAGAAACCTGGGCTTTACCCCAGACCCATTAAATCTGCTTTTCTGTAAATTAGCACACTAAATTTGGAGAGCCACTGGTATATACAGTATAATCCTGATTTTAGTAAAAATAAACTATGATGTAAATAGAAGAAAACATAAATAATTGTATCACAATTTAAAGGGTGAAAGTCTTATCCAAACATATTTTTAGTAAGAAGCTAAAGACAACCTCACCAATTCTATAACATAAAATTTAGAAGATTTCTTGCAGCAAAGCAAGACTATACAAAAAATAAAAAGCTAAGAGATGATTTAATAAGATGTATTTTCTATGACTGACATTATGTAACACCTTGCATTCCTTTCTAACAATATGAGTAAAATGTGTCAGAAATAAATTCAAAGTTCTCCTTTATCATCTCAAAAAATGGTTGAGCCAGCCCTGTGCCCTTGACTTTCTTTTGTTTTTATGTTATCATTGTTTGATGTCCTTGGAGAAATGTTCATGTCTCCAGACCATTCAAGGTTATGGCAGCCTGATGGGTGCTGCTCAGACTCGAATTCTGGCTGGAGTGAGATAGGTTCCAGGCTTACTGCACCAGTTGTGGAAGACAGGAGAAATCCATGCCCCTGGCCTTCAGAGGGGTGGCACTCAAGGCAGGATGTGGAAGGACTCACCCAAGCTATATTCCTCCCTAGGGTGGGTCTGACTGGTTTTCTGCTCCAGCTTGCAGCAGGCACCAGCTCCTCCTAGGGTGATGGCCGGGCTGTCCTGGGCAGATATACCTGGAGGAGGACTTGGCTTTTCCCTCCTTTTCCCTTTATCTTTTGGGAATGTTTTTTAGGGGAGAAGATAAAGCTCCAAAGCTTCCCAACTGGAGCATTGGTTGGGATAGTCTTTGAGCAAGCAGATGTCTGAACAGATCTGACCTGTTCAACCCCCATAACTTGGGGTTGAAGCAGAAGGGCTGACCCTTCTCTAAGAGTCTAGTGAAGTAGCCTCCAAAATAACTGGGGGCAAAAATGGGGTTAGACAGCACACAAAACCTCACCCACCCCTCTTCACTCACCTTGTTCAGACTCCCAGAAGGGCCTTGGATGTGCCCTGGCCTGTTTTGGTGGTTCTGCGACGACTTCAGCTCTGTGTCTGCCTGGTGAGTGCATCTGATGTCTGAGTTAGCCCAGGCCCAGAAGTACAAGAGACCTTAGGTAAAGGGAGCTTGCAAACACATGTGGTCCTATAACTCAGGAGAAAAAGGGTGCTACCTCCTGTCTGAACAGCCCCATGCACTGCAAGCCCAGGTCATGCCTTGGGGGCCAGGACAGTCAAACTGTGAGTTGATATAAAGATATTTTTTAAGGCATTGATGATAAAGGGTCAGCAGCATCCAGAACCTGGTTCTCTGGGCCCCTGCTATGTGTCCCCCCACAATTCATGTGCTGGAAACTTAATCCCCTATGCAACAGTATTGGAAGGTGGGGGGCCTAATGGGAGATTTTTAGGTCATGGGGGCTCTGCCTTCATGAACAGATTAATGCTGCTATAAAAAGGGCTTTTGGGGGTGTGTTCTCTCTCTTCTGTTCTTTTGCCATGTTAGAACAGAGTTCCTCTCTCTTGCCCTTCTGCCTTCTACCATGCAAAAATGTAGTAAGAAGGTCCACACCAGATGCCGGCACCTTGATCTTAGACTTCACTGCCTCCAAAACTGTGAGAGAATAAATTTCTGTTCTTTATAAATTATCCAGTCTCAGGTATTCTGTTACAACAGCACAAAACGGACTAAGATAGCCCCTCACCACCTCCCTGCCCACACGGAAGGCTGGTATCACAACCACATTGAGAGTTGGACTCGCCTGGTCAACTCCTGAGCAGAAAGCATTGAGGATCCAGGACCCTGGAAAGAGAACCCTCTCCTAACCAGGATACCCCTGCTCTTAGGAGACAGCGCATAAGAGTGGCAACCCCTCTGGTGAGGCAGTGGGGTTCAAGATTCTTGCAAAATGACCAGAGACTCCTCCCTCCCTCATTCACAAATACTAATCTAAACAAACTGAATGAATTTTACAAATGAGGGAAGAGATTACACAGATAAATAAGAGGCAGATCCTGCATTCTTACTCGGATTCGTTTGCATCAAATTCTGTGTTCTCCCCACAGTACCACACTGCCTCCGGTTTAGATGGTAGCTTTCCAGGGCTTAGGGAATCATTGTTTTAGACTTGCTGAGTATGGTATCCTCGTTGGTTTGTGGATTTGGATGGGTTTTCAAATTTTTTTCATCTCTCTCCAGGTATAAATGTCCAGTAGGAAGTTAGATATTAGTGTCTGGAGTTTGTAAAAGAGATTAGAATGGAAATATGGATTGCAGCTTGTAGTACCTGGAACATATCAAGCACCCTATGAATATTTGTTGAATTAAATGAATGAATGAAGAATCCAATTGTATATCCTTCTGTCCTTTCCTATGAATATGTATTTTTCAAACAGAAGTGGGATTTTACTGAATGCACTGGTTTATAACCTGTGTGTAAAAAATGCACATTTTCTTTAAACCTATTCTTTACCAAGATAATACCTATTTGGGGGAACGTTTAGAAATAGAGGTAAGTGCCACCTGGTAACCAGAGCCAGAATTGCAGGTTGAACTTAGCTAATGAAGGAGGGGAGAGAAACTATGGGGAGGGTGGTGGAGAAACTTGATATTTGGGAGGGGAATGCCTCAACCTTGGCTCTTGCTGGACTGACACAAGTATCATGTGACACGAGTATCCTCTCTGGGGTTGAGGTGGCATAAGAAGCAACATATAGGAAGTTTTTCCTTGTCTCAATTCAAAATAAGTGTGTTTAAATGGAATGGTCTTATACTATTAATATTTTTGTTTTTTCTCTGATTGCAGAAGATATATGTTTCTACTAGAAAATATCTGGAAATGCAAAAAAGTATAAAAAGAAGATATAATCACTTATACTTCCTCTACCCACAGAAATTGAGGCGCATATACTTCTATCGTATGTGTGTAAATCTCCTTTTTATGTATTCAATTTACTTTGTTATATAGTATGTATATATGTTATATTACATATATATTATACGTTCAAATGCCTTTATGTATTCATTTATATATTTGTAGTTATATCTTACAGAGCATATATTTCCCTTATTTTTATTTACAGATATGCCATGACATTCATCTGTATGGGTATTCCATCAACCATGCTCCTTGATAGTGATGGCAATGATGAAAATAAAATTGTTCTCTTTAGTCTTAGAGACCTATGTCTGAGGGCCACATGAATGGACGGGTCCCCCAAAAAGTATAAGGTGAAGGAAAGAGCACCAGCTTTGTTTGGAGTTGAGGAAAGAAATTCAAAATGATCAAGCACCTTTGAGCCAAGTACTTTATATTTGGAATTTTCTTTAATCCTTACAACTCTTTGAGGAAGGTGTTATTTATTATAGATAAGGAAGTTGAAGCCCAGAAAGTTTAGGTGACTTACACAGGGTCACACAGCCAGTAAGTGGAGGAACCTGGATTTG